CTGTGATGCAATTATGTGTTTTTTGAATTATAGAAACTAAAATAGGTTGATATTCTTATCTGACATAGACCCTAAAATGCAGCATTGCATTCTGTAACATGCTGTTTTTCTTTCAGGTTGAAGAGCTCACTAAGGAAATCCGTAGTAGGAAGGAGAAAAATACATCTAGTATAGAAGTACAAACAGAGGACTATGTTGCGTGGTCACAAGCAGGTAGAAAGGATGATGATTGCTTAAACAGACATTATTTTGACATTTTTTAATATGAAATACACTTTTAGTTTTATCCTTAGCTGCATTAAACCCAGTAACATTATCTTTTGGACCATTTCCTATTCAAAAGATTCCTTTTAGAACAGTGTAAATGTAACATGGACTGTAGTAGAATTCATGCCATAGTAATCTGTTACATATTAATCTCATACATTACACACATACATGTTTTGCCAATTTTTCAGTTACATTAAAACAAGATATAATTTGGTCAGTAAGAGCAGAATAAATTCAAACCAAAGGCACTGCCTAATAATTGATTTTCAGTAGGCTACTTAATTTCCAGTTTAAGATTTAGGGTCCTTAAACTGAGTTGTGTAAAATACCACTTTGCTAATTTATGCAACCATAACTTTTTCCCTCCCCGCAGATTATTACTACTATGAAAATTATTACAATCACTCCGATTCTCAGGATTGTGCATCTGAACTGCCGGTGTGGCACAATCATGGAACTGAAGGCACTGAGCACAATTCCACAGAGGAATCACAGACAGATGCAAGTATTCCTTTAAGGATGGATAGCGCTAAAGTTGCTAAAGATGGAGAAGAGAAAAATCTCATCCAGAATTCAAAGGTTATAGAACTGTTTAGGGTTTTACCAAATTTGCAGTCAGCACTCTATTAATATTTCATTTCATTTAAAAGATGTGCTTTTGGTCTTGGTGTCATTGTATGAAATAATTTTTTGTGATGGTCTGGTGCTGATGGTAACAGAAAAACGTTCTTGTGCTTTAAAACCAGTTCTTTTTGTAGTATGTTCCAGATGTAACATACTCCTAGATTTGTTTGGGGTTTTTTAATGTTTTGTTTTGTTTTGTTTGTATTTTTTGAAAGAAGCACATTCTAAAATACATGTCCTGCATAGCCTGACAGCATGGCATTTTTGTCATCAGAATATGTTCAGTATGGCCACACTGACTTTCCTAAAGTGTACCTTTTTTTTTTTCTCCCTTCCGTTGATATAAGGAGGCAGCATATACGGAGAAGAAAGTTATTGGAGGCATACTTTTGTTATGTTTAGGGTTTTTTTTTCCCCAGCCATTCAGCCTTTTGTTAGATGCTTCATCTCACTTGCTTAATTGATTTTGTGGCTTATCATCTAGCAACTGAAATGAAATGGAGAGCAGAAATCTATTTTAGGAATGTACTGAAAGATACTCAGTGTGTGTATTTTTGATGTGAACCACTTTTGAATAAAGGTTGGGAAAAACCAAATGCACAGGATGAAGTCTTGATCCCATTGAAACCAATAAGACTTTATCAGTCAACCGTGTTTAATAGTTCTTGAATCAATTCAAGGTCCATAAAGCACTAATTTGAGTTATTTAAAGTAGGGCACTGTGAAATGCTGAAGAACTAAGGAGCTTCTTTTTTAGAAGAAAATTGAATTTCTTACTTTCTGGTGTCAGGAAGCAGAAGATACTTCAGTACCAGAGAGTTCTTTGGCGGAGAGCTTGAGAGCTGCTGCAGAAGCTGCTGTTTCACAAACCGGATTTATTTACGATGAAAATACAGGATTGTATTATGACCACAGCACTGGATTCTACTATAATTCAGTAAGGATCATTTTCAAAACCCTTGGAGTTTTTTTCCTCAGGCAAAATTTTAGTAGCAAAAGTTAGTGTGAGCAAAGAACTAAGATCCAAGCTGTCTTTAGGATTTGAAAACATGTTACTGAGGACAAGCAGCAGAAGACAAATAGTAATGGAAGTTTGTTAATTAGTCATTGAATTATTTCAGGCAAATTAAAGATAGCAGGATAAGATCTAAATTTATGTTTTTATTCCGTTCTTTTTGCTGTCTTCTAGGTCTTTAACTTACTTGGCATTGTAAAAAAATTATAGTATAAAGATGCCATGTAACTCTCAAAATTAAAGGCTTGAGCTAAAACATGACTGGTTTAGAAAAAGACAGATTGCTTAACTAAGTGGCTTCTCCACAGTGAAAAGTGTGTTGATATAAAATACATGAAATACTTGTACTTTTACTTAACTATTGTTACCAACTAGTTTGATGTTATGGGAAAGAAAATACTTTAGAAAAGGATGTCTGACAGTGCATCAAAATTCCATAATTAGTAAATTCTGCTATGTGTTTTCACAAGAAAGCTTTTGGTGAGGTTTTCTTTTTGTCCTCTGAGGGGTGTGTGTATGTACATGTGTAAATAGATAGATATCCCTACATGTACAATGTCACAAATCCTAGTGGAACTGCTGTGCTGAAAACGGAAGTTTTGTTAGCAGCATTACATTCAACTCAGTTTCAAAAAAAATGCATGTGGTACACAAAATTCAGAGACATGTCTGGACTCAATTTTTAAAGTGTTAAATTATACTATTGCTTTTGACATAGTTTGTAGGTATAGTTGGCTACCTGTTTGGGGCTATATATTAGCTATATAGTTATATATAGTTATATTAGTACAGTAACAGAAGAGTACATCTTGTTCCATAACTGTTCTGAATTATGGTAAAAGTTCTTCTGTTTGATTTATTGGCAAGGTTTTGATAGTGGGGCTAGGAACTGAGTCCACCAAAGAAACTGGTGGTGCTTCTGTGAAAGCATGTTTAAGAAAGAGAGCAGAATGCTGCACAGTGGAGCAGGGGGAAGTGTGAAAAACAAACCTGGAAACACCAAGGTCAAAGAAGAAGGATCAGAAGGAGGTTCTCCCAAGTGTCAGAGCAGGCAATTCCCTATAGTCCATGGAAAAGGACCATACTGGAGCAGATACTCACACTGCAGTTTATGGAGGACCCTACACCGGAGCAGGTCCTTAAGGTGGCCTGTGGAGAGCCCATGCCAGAACAGGGTTACTTGGCAGGAGCTGTGGCTTGTGGAGGACCCACACTGAAGCAGTTCTTGAAGCACTGCAACCCATGGGAAAGACCCATGCTGGCCAGGGTAAAAAGCGTGAGGGGGTTGGAGCAGGAGAGAGGAACTGTTATGAACTAACTGCAAACCCTCACTCCTTATCTCTCTCCACTGCTTGGGCAGAGGGAAAAGAAATACAGGAGTTGGGAATGAAGGAGTGAAGTAGAACTTGGGGAAAAAAGGGTAGAGAGAGGTGTTTTGTCTTTGTTCCTTATCTTCCAGTGCTCTTTTAACTGGCAGTAAATGAAATTTATTTTCACCAAGTCAAACCTGTCTTGCCCATGATGGTGATATCCCTGTCTTTATGTTGACCTATAAGCTTTTCACCTTATTTTCTTCCCAGTCCTGTTGAGAAGGGGGATCGAGAGAGCAGCTGGATGGGCATCTCTTAGTCAGCCAGGATCAAGCCCACCACAGTTCTTTAGTACATTTCAGTTGTTTTTTTTGAACTCTGTATATGGTTCTTTAGGTTTTTCTTTGACCAGTGTATTTCTTGAAGTGATGACAACATTGTTCTTTGTTTTTGTAAAGGAAAATCAACTGTATTATGATCCAGCAACAGGAATTTATTACTACTGTGATGTGGAAAGCGGCCGATACCAGTTTCATTCACGAGTGGATCTGCAGTCCTATCAGGCCTCTGGTGCTCAGCACACTAAGGATAAAAAAGGAAAAAAGAAGAGAAAAGAACCTGAGTGGACTTCTACAAATGAGCATAAGGTAACATTAAAAGTGACAGATAGAAAACACAAAACATGTTTTTACTTCATGATGCAATTTATGCATTGTGGGGTTTGGTTTTATGTAGAGGATGTATGCTTATTTTTTGAAGGATTCAAACATCTTTAAAATACATACAGCAGGTTGCTAACATGTAGTTTTGGTGTTCAACTAATTTTCCCATTGAGTGATTAAGGATGAAACTTTAAACTTGGATGCCCTCACTTTTTCAAATTATTTTATTACAATACAACTGTATAGATCTCGAAAATTGAGTGTTAGTGAAGCTTTCTGATTAGCAAGCACACTAGAATGAATCCAGGATACTGTGTGAACAGGGTTTACATCAAATTCAGTGTTACCTCAGTGTCTTGGGTTTGGGGTTTTGGCTTGTGTTTTTTTGTTGTTGTTGGTTTGGTGTTTTGTAGGATTTTTTGTTGTGTGTTTTTTAAATTCACATGATGAGTCAAAAAGTGACTGAGTTTTGGAAACACACAGACCATCCCTTTTCTGTACTCCAAAGCTCATTCCATTGGCATATTACTATATCTCTGCCATCATTTAGGATTAATGGAATATCTAATGTAATTCTTTGAATATTGTGCTCTCCTTTTGTTATTTTTTGTGGTCAATACATTTTTGTTGTCCATAGTATATGGATAAGATGTTCATCTTAATAAATGCCCATTGTAGTTAACTTATATTTTAAGTTATAAGAAACATAACTTCCTTTCTAATTTTTTTTCCTGAGGACTAAGAAATACCATACCATACCATAGCATGTAGCACATAGTGACTTCCTTGAAAAATGTTACTCACTCCTAAACACCAGAAGTTCTCTTGTAACACAGCTAGTAAGCCTCAGGAAGCATTTACTTAATGAACACATTTGTTGTTGAATCAAATTTGTAAGTCCGATTCTGCAAATTTGTTTTATTACTTAAGGTTTGATTTCTTTTGTTTGCAGTGTTTCTTAGTTTGCATTCTTTAAAGCTATTGCTTTAACTGTTGCATAGTTGCATTATGTAGGCCTGTCAAGCTGGTTGGTAGAAATCTGAAATAATTATGTTAGTGCGCAGGTGGTATTCCTACATAATAGTTACATAGCTTCAGTACAGAGTTCAAACATTTTGTGTCAGGAGTGAGGTGTTCTGAAAGATTTGAAAATGGAAACTATTTACATAAAGAACTAGGGAAGGTAGGTTAAATGGATAGTGGTAGTTGATCAATTACAGATTTTATAAATAGATTGTGGCTAATGTGGGAATTCCTACTCTTTGAGAACTTCGTGTGAACCATTCCATTCTGAAAGCTTGAGGTGGATACTTAACAACAAGAGCAAGTGTAACAATGCTTTAGACTTAAGAGAGGAGCTAATGCAGTTGAAGCTAATGCAGTTTTACCAGCATCTTAAGTTCTGGGCATGCTGTGTGCAACTGTTGAATTAGCATTTTGCCACTCTCAAAAGGCATTGCTAATAAAGAACTGTATTCATCATGTGTCTGGAAAGCATAATGGAAAGCTTGTGTGAATGAGCCCTTATTATATAGTGCAATTAATAATTCTCTTAAATGTAGTTCTATGATGAACTGTTACATAGTGACCTAAATAAACAAGTGTTTTTGAGGGTTCTGTGGAATATTTATCTCTGACCTAAGAAATAATGTTGCCTAATTTTTGAGATCCCATCACAATCTGCTTTTGTCTTCTGATTATACTAGAAATAGCTACTTGTCTATAGCTCATTTTTTATCTAGAAATTATTTTATGTAGATAGTCTTGTTAACAGATCTTCTGTGTGAAGCTTGCACAGTCACAAGGTAGGAGGTAAACATCCACTTTTTCTGATGTGTTTTATTGATAGTGAACTGAGTACATTGCTTTATTTGTGAATTAATTTATCTGACCAACAAGATAAAAGGAAAAATATTTAAAACATCTGTGGTACACAGATCTTTGTCTGTGAATAGTAAGTGAAGGTTAGTGTCAAAATAAGAATCAAGACCTTTTCTATTTTTTTTTAAAAGGTGGAATACAAAGTGAAACTTCAAACAACTACTCTCTACGTTAAACTTCAAAAAGAAAAGAATGCCTCTTTTTCAGTGCACTTTTATGTAAATGCACTGTTAGATTTAGAAAAAACACAGCACTTTGGTGGTTTTTTTTGTAGCTGAGTTAAAACAATTCTTCTTGTGTGGTTCTTAATCATATAAGAAATTAATTCATTAATATAAAAATAAAACTTGTTACATTAGAGTAAAAGATTAAGGTTTATTAGAGTAATAGATTATAGATTTTTCTGTTACAGAGCTGCACAGTCCAGTTTATAGATGCCTGGTGTTGGCAAAATTATTGTTGTCCAGTTTATTCTGGTATTGCTAAAAACATTAATTAGTTCATGCTAGTTACTGCATTATTTACACTCTTTAAAAAAAAAAGAAAAAGTTTTAAGTAAAACTTTGAAGTGTTGTATGTTGAAATGCTTTGATGCACGCTTGTGCACAGCCTTCTCCCTTTTCCTTTCATTTCCTCTTCTGCTCCTGGTAAAAAAAAAACAAACAAACAAAGTTAAAATAAAACCTGTACCTGAATACTGACTAAATTATTCAAGTTGCAATGGTTATTTTGCAGATTAGTACCGCATTGTTGCTTTTCCCAGTTGGTTATTAAATTTTTCTTCTAGCCAGAAAAATGCCTCCAAACATTACCTAATTTCTTGGTGAAAGTAGGTTTTACTTGACTTTCTTTTTCTACAGCCAGTACAAGTTGCAGAATGATTTGGTTTATTGTCTGGTCTGTGGACCACGAATGGTGGTAAATAAACCAAAGTCTAATTCTGAAAATATGTGATATGCCCACTGAACATTATTATTCCTGGATGAAGGTGAGGTGGTCTACAAGAATGTGCCTATGAAGCAGGGGAAGACAGTGAGCAGTAGTTATAGAACCTCAAGTACACAAAACACATGTTAAACTTTTCTCTTTTTTTCCAGTTAAAGGATTGAATGTAAACAAGTATTGACAGATATTTAGTGTTACTTAAAAGTTGCCAAGTACAAGAAATAAGAAAATTTAGCAGCTGCATGTGTAAGTTATCACAGCAAATATTTCTACACAGATGGTATTGTATATAGTTTTTACCAAAATTGTGTATGATTTTTTTAATTACTCATTCTATTTAAACCAAAGTTCTTCTCTTTTTAATCTAAACATAACTTTCTTATCCAATCTTAATTTTCTGTTTCTGGTCACAGGAGACTTTATTTTAGTTGCGGTTTAGTTTATAGCTGTTGTGAAGAATTTTATGTACTTGGTTATCTTAAATGTAGTATCTCTTTATGAGCAGTAAGCTGGAATGCTTAACACTGCAGAAATGACAAGTGTATTCTCCACAAATACTTCTTGTAAAAGCAATGTAAATCTCAGAATCTAAAGAACAAAATTAGTCTGTTAAAATATTATTTAACAGCTTAATTAAATAAAATAAATTTACTATAATAAAATAATTTTAAATTATCATTTAAAAACTGAATTACCAAACAAGAAAATACTAGTGAGCATCTGCTGGAATGAAAGTACTTCTAATTGCAAAAAAAACAGTGGAGGGGAACTTGGATCTTTGGAGGAATTGTCCTGATTTCTTTAAAGAGATTATTTTAATACAGAAGTCACCAAACTTTCTTTTGACTTGTGAAACTAAGCATGCTACCCACATACTTGCTTTTAATACACAATCAGGAATTTAATTTGCCAGGATGAAGTATTAGATTCTCTGCAGCTCACATAAACGAGTCAAGGGATGCTTTGAAACTTTCAGGCATATAGTTCAGTGGTGATACCTTTTTGTAGCTGTAGGCCAAAAAAACAAGTGAGGCAAGAAATACTGTATTCTCTCCTGTACAAGCAAAACCTTTAAGTAAATTTGGAAAAGTTTTAAAAAAAAACCCAAATCACGAGGTGGCATAAATGCTAATGTGATTCCTGGCCCAATATCTAGATCCCATGCTTCCATACAGGTTAGAGAATAGACTGTGTGCAGTAGTGATCATGTAGTTCTACTTGCTGGATTTGGACCATTAGAAATACCTAGCAAAATTTATATGCAAGGTCTGACAAATGCTGGGTTTTTTTCTTAGAAATTATTTTTACAGTTCATTCTTAAACTACTGTCTAATAAATTTGATTTCAGTGTGGTACTCAATGAACTTCTACCATACTCTTTTCCATTATAGATGCATCCTAGCTACTCCTATAGAGAAGGCAAGGTTTTTTTAATAGTACTCTTGAAGCAGTGATTTTTCTTTTTATTTATCACGAGTAGTTTACTTTTTGCTGATATTCATCCTATCTTTAGGTACACCAGTTGACAGAAACCATGGCTAATCTGAAGATTTCTTCTTTTGGATTGGCAGCTTCTGGTGAAGGTAGAGTTGAGACACCAAACACATTAGTCGGTGGATGTTTACCTTTAACCTTGATATTTCTATTAAAGGAAAAATAGTATCTAGTAGTTGATATTTCGATATCTGTTTTCCTAAAGGAATTAATAGTTTTTTAAAATTTTGATCAAAATCAGTTTATTTACAAACTACCTATTAAACATATTTGAAACACTGTATAAGTAAAACATCTGAAGAAGACTTTGATGGCATTCTAGAATATTTGCAAAAAGACATGCTTAGCATCACTGTATTAGTGTAGTGTCCTGACTAAACATACTACGTGTTCTTTAGGTAAGGCAAATTTGTTTCCGGTATTTCAGAGCTGTTGACTGACATATAACATGGCTTCTTTATGATACAGGAACAGCTTTACTCTTTTTCTGGCTTTTAATTAGATTTTTTGCATTGGAAATTTGAGTATTGTGGAAGACAGTAACTGAAGTGGTTGTGAAAAGGTGTGTTAGCCAGTGAAAGCATAGTCATCTGAGTGAAACTGTTTTAAACTGTTTGAAAATGTTTCTTTAGAATACTGAATTTCAGATTAGTATTTCAAATTGA